TGGCATTGTTTTTAAATATTGAGAAAGTTTTCTGAAGGGTTTTCCAGAGACCGGATCTCTGGAAAGCTTCTTAGAAAACTTTTTCAAAACCCAACTCTCATGCCATTAGAAAGAGGATCATGAAAAATCTATAAAAAAATGGTTCATGAAATTTTAGTTCATTCATAAAGCTAAAGTCCGCCTGCTCTAGCAAAAAATGCCCACTGTGCAGAATCACTTTTTTTAGCAGTCTTCAAAAAAGGCATGCAACCTGATTTTTCATAAACAGTTCTACAAAATAGACTTAGTCTTTTTACCAGCTCCTAGATCATGTTTAAATCTACATACCTGTGCAACAGCACTCATCAGCAGATGGATTCATAACTAGGAAACCATCGAATATAATTAACTTATCAATTGATTTTAACAGAGTTTCATATCCTTTTGTTGATACTAAACGTTTAAAATAGATTTTTTCCTTATTGTCAATTGTCATTGTTGATTGTTGCGGCGAAATATGTTCAAGATTTGATATTAGATCCATGATAAAAAATTTCATTAATTTCAACTGGTCAACATTTCTCGCACAAAATGCTTTCGAAAGCCATTTGTATAAAAAGCAATTTGTTTTTAAAAACCATTTGATTGCATCACTGTCTGATTGGTAATCCTTCTCAAATTCTTTTATATTATTCATTTCGAAGATGTTATCAGCATAGTATTCTTTTACGTTTTCAATAAATAGATGACGCTGTTGAAAATATTCATTACCGCTGTTTGCTGTTGTTGTTAAGTTAGGGCCGAGAATAGTGGAAGTAAAATAAAGTTGTTTGATTAACAAATTCCAAAAGAAATGGGAATTGTATCCGACGATTAATGTGAGCATGTGGGTATGGGACGGATTGTAAGAGGGATATATTATCAGTTCATTTTGCTGTTGCTCAATTGAAATTTTCATGGTCTTCAACAGCTCTGTCATTGTTGAAAATATACCAGTTAATTTTGAATCAGCATTCGAAAGTAACGAACGATAATGAGTTTTTCTTTTGGAATTCGAACAGTGGAGAAATATCCCCCCAACTTGTATTAGATTTTTCAATTCTAATAAAAGATCATTTGTTTCGTCGACGTATTGTTCAGCGGTCTCGACCAAAACCAAATATATCGTTTCTTCATCGATTGATCTGACATGTGTTTTCAATTGCGATGAATCTGTATAAAAAAGACAATAATCATTGATCGAACGATAACTGTTGGCTATTTCATCTGTTAAATCTTTCACATCAAAATTTGGATCATATATAACAACGCAAACATTTTCATTATTGCCGGGTGATTTATTCGTGGCAAAACACATCATTTCATTTGAAGTCGTTGACGGAACTAGTTCGATGGTTTTCTTCGATGCTTGTGTTGACTAGAAACGGGGTGAAAGATCATTAGGCATCGACCCTCTCTCAAAAACATTTTTCTTTTGTCATAAATCGATAGGGTGTGTGATTTTATGTATTTTCGATGCTTTTAAGAGTTTAAAAAGTAATCCTAAGAAACAAAAATTGACCAAGTTCCAATATTCGTGAGTACCACCAGTTTTAATAAAAATGTTTTTGTTTTATAACTGGTCAAAGTTTTTGTGAAAGTAAAAAATTTGTGTCCGTTAAAGGACCTTTCACAGTTCTGGATATTTTTCTCCAAACGTAATTTGACACGCGCTACAATTCGGCCGTAATGGAACATACGAGGATGACATTTTTTTAGTAACTCGCACAGTGGGCAGTCACATAGACATTAGGCGAAAAAATGAAAGTGCCTTTCTAAAGGTTCAAATAGTGGCAAATATACTTTGAGATATGAGCTATTTAGTAACATTAAAATTTTTGTTCCAAGTCGCACAGTTAGTCGGAAAACGCGTGTTTGCGAAAAACTTAGTAGTGCGAGATTCGAAGGCTTTATTGTCGAAACCCGCAAAATATTTTCTGAAAGATCATACTTATTTTAAAAGTAGACCACTCTGTCTATCGTTTTATAAAAAAATTGTGTGTGCCTGCATACTTCACCAGGAGAAAATGATTTTTTATCTACGCTAAGCGTTTTCGAAGAGACGTGTGTAGTATAGTGGGCTTCCTATTTTTTCCCAAGCTTAATTCGATGAAACTTTTACAAAATGTTCATTTCCTAATAGTACATATATAGTGTTAGTCCAAACGATTCTAGATCATAGGATTTCCAAAAAACGCTTAGTTTTTGACGCAAAGTCTATTTTTCTCGATCCAGGAGCACAAAGTAATATATAATTACACAAAAGTAATATGTTTGAAATCAGCGCATAAAATTGCATCTACTGATGTGCGTATGAAGTATTTCTGAGGCAAAATTCAAATCACCGAAGGGAACATAACCGACAATTTGTAGTCGACTAGTGCTTTTGATGTTGAGCCTGAAGCGAATTTCTTAGTACACTCCAGAGTAGAGAAATAGAGGTGAAATAGACTGATGATCTCTGTTTCAATGCCCTTACCCTTTGGTGTGTGGTACGCTGTTTCAATCTTTGTTGATTCTTTTGTTTATTTGTGTCGCTTTTAGGTAGCATCCTAGTCAAGTTTTGGCTTTAGAAATGGGAGGATAGGATGGGAGAAGCGGAGGAAATGCATACTTTTTTTGACTCATTTAGAATAGAGTCAACTGTTTGTAAACACAACCAGAGGCGCCGGAACCACTAGACTGGGTAAGGCTTAAACCTTACCCGGATTTTTTGTTAGCCTGAGTCTTACCCCGTTTTGGTGTAGAATTTTGAATTTAGCACTCTGTTATTTAGATAAAACTTGGCTACACTGGCAGAAAAACCTTATTTATCTGAAGCAAAAGCGAAAAGAGTTTCGCTATAAAACTCTGCTTTTTTTTAGTGATCTTAAACACAGAGACTAATACGAGATATGAGCGGTGAGAAAAAAGGACTAGATTGAGATAGAATGCTAAGTTTTGGCATCAGGAGCGCCAAGAAATGTAAATTGTCTTTTGTTTAAAATAGCGAAGTTGTCCTTTAATTATATAGATATGCCACGTTTTTCAGAGAAATATGCTTTTATTTTATTAATGTAGCGCAAACTTTTTCCCTTTTTTGGCCTTTTTGCTGTGAACTTCACTTTTTTGGAGTCTGAGTAAAAACACCTTGAAACCATGAAGCTAGTGCGGACATTTTATTTCGGCGAGTTGAGCTCAAAACAATACTCCCTTGTTTGCTCTTGCTACGAAAACTTTTATGGAAAATTGCACCTTTTCGAAAAACTTTCAAAATCCGCTGCTGTCTTACCGTGAGCCTTAGCCCGTTTAAGAACGTTCCGCCGTCTTTGAACACAACCCAAAAGAAAATCGTCGTTTCTTCATTCTGATTACGCCCCGAAGAACAAAATAGCAGGTGTTAAACTTACAGTTGTCTGCGCTTGATTAATAAGGCTGCTGATTGTCGTTTGTTGATCAGTGCTAGAAGTTAACAAATTTGCCAGACGATCTGATACAATTACAGAACAATCATTGTAAATGCTTGCTGCTGTTACAATGTCTGTGAATACTGGGTGATCGGGCGAAATAAAAGATGGCAACGGTCCGTCTGGATGAAAATCAAGAACAGAACGACGTTCAAACAGTTGTCGAAAATCCGACTGTACAGGATGACGATATCCAAAATGTTGTCCGGTAAACAACGGAATCCATAGTGACACCAAACCCTGTTGACTCATCAAATCACTAAATACGTTTTGTCCCTGTTGAACAAGAGATGAATCCGGTCCTGCGATATTTTCCGCAGGAACTATTCCGTTACAAATAGCATCTTGTATGTTTTTTAAGACAAAAACAAATCCTATTAGAGAATCAACAAAATCACTTATACTTATTGTTGCCACAGTTTCACCATTCAAAGGCGACTGCCAACGACTTGTTTCACTTGAATCGAGGAATATATATTTAAATCGACTAAGATTATTTTCTTTTTCGCCATCAATTATACGAAGTTGATTTAGGATGTAAAAGCACGCAATATTATGACCTTCAGCATAGGATGAATCAAATAATAACCAGTTTTGTTTGAGCTGTTTGTAATCGTCATTTACACGTAAAACATCATCAATTTTCAGACTTTTTAGCCAATCCTCCAAATTTTTGTTTGAGTCAAATGCTAATTTATCTTGTTCAATAAATAGATTAAGGTTAATTGTATCATCTAATTTAACATTCTCCAATATTGCTGCAGCTTTCAACAACGAAACAGTTGAATAACCCTCCAATATATTCATTTTATCGATGAAATAATGTTGGCAAATTCCGCGACGCAGCTGAACACAAACAAAATCAATCCATTTTTCTGCCATTCGTCGAGCAGTTTTTGTTTCATCCTTCTCATTGTCGTTGTCCTCATTCAGATCCATCGATTCGCACATCCAAAGTACAGTTGTCTTTACAAGTAAGACGGCAGCTTTGAATTGCTTTCGTTGGATCCTCCAGTGATGGAACCAACTTTAAATAAGCGTAATAAATTGATCTTGCAACACCCGTTAATATTCTTTCATTTGGTGTACGTTGTTTGGCCAAAAAGATTTCAATTGACGAATAGGAATAACGAAATTCGACATCTTGATCGATTTCTGGCGTTTTTTCCGACCATTTTGGTATCAAATGCATTGAACAGTTATGCTGGATTTTATCGTACAAATGCGGACGATTCTGTTTTAGACGATCAAGAAACGGTTGCATATCAGATGGCCAAAACAGTAATTGAAACGATGGAACGTTGTCCATTTCTAAATTAAAAAGTGATTGACCATAAATACAAAAATCATTGTATAGTTTTCCATAGCCAATCGTTTTCCATTTGGAATAAAATTCTAATAATGAATAAAGTCGCACTTTATTCACTTGTGGAATGTCGAAAAAATAGGCTGGTCCAGCAAGATCAATCATGTCTTGAAATACTTGAAAATCGTCCATTCGAACTGCCGTACGATGAGACGGTGGTAAAATATGTAGTACAGTATTTATGCCTTGGGAGTTGCTCAAAACGGACGTCCACATGATCTCAACGAGGATTTTACCTTCCTTTATCTGCCTTTAGTTAACCATTTGCCTATTCTGGCCAGCGGCTGACCAACAAGATTTTGAAAGAGAAGAATTTCTTTAATAATTTTTTCTGCAATAAAAATTATGCCAGAACCTTTTGAAAAAATATTCAAGTGGAGAAAAAGGATGAATGACGATTTCCTGAAAAACAAAAAAAACTCAACAGAAAATATTTTCTAATGGATTTGCTAGTGCACAGACATTAAATTTCTCTCATTTTGTATTCAAAGAGCAGATCATTGCAGATGTTGTTTGTTATGCCGTCTGTTCAATTTCCTTAATGCATGCCAGAGATGGAAGATCTAACTGACAGTTGTTTGTTATAGTCGAACCGGCGCGAATTTTCTTCCGAACGCACTTGATTTGAACTTCTGACTCTAGTACCTGAATGAATAATATAATTCCACCCTGTTTCTTTAGCGTATAGTCAACTTTTGGCCTTTTTCAATCCCATTCTCTAGAATTTTTAGACGATATTCGTGTTCAGTACAAAACACTGCATTGAAAAAGTGTTTTTCCGATTTTCTCAAATGTTTTTTCCAGTTGTAGTTTTGTGATATGTTTTGAGACAAAAAGAAAAATCCTTTAAAAAAATCCGAAAAATTCTAAGTGAGAAGAGACGTTAGCGTATAGGCTGACATGTGTTACTTATTTTTAAAGAATATTCTTTCACTTTTTAGGACTTTATTTCCCGGCATTCTTAATAACTAAAGCACAATGTGAGCGAATGTGTCTTCTAGCGGATCGCTATCGAACGTGTTCGGACGAAAATTGCAAATACGACAGTTTATATTTTTCTTACCAGAGACATCGACGAGCGCTCTGCTGACAAGCTATTAGGGCAAAGTACCATAAACCTTATAAAGACACATTCAAATTAGAGCTGCAACTGTCTGTCTACTTCTTTTTACACAGTGAGGAAAACCATTTTTGCATGAAAACAAAGTAAATCAATCTGCTATACAGAGGCCATGTTAGTAAATAATTCGAGAGTAAATCAGATATAATGGAAACTAAAAGTACTTTCAACTTCCTGGAATAAAGTAAACATAAATTTGCTGCTCTGATTCAAACTTTTCTTTACATGACTACCTGCGTAATCAAGGCTGCTTCTCCGTTTGGTGTAATCTTCACCATTTTTTCTGTTTTTTTTATCACGATTTCTTTCATGTGTTTCTTCGTTCTCACGTTCTTAGCTTTGACAAACTATTTCTTTTAAACCTTTGGTAGCGATCCGGTAGTAGACACATTCGCTCACATTGTACTTTAGTCTATTTTCTCACTGATTAGTTCCTTTAAAAGCTTCAATTTCATTCAATTTGCCTTTAGTCCAGATCAGGCATGGAACCATCCCAAGCGACAGCAACAAACCGTTTGGTGCCGATTAGCTATTCCTAGTTTGGGATTGCTGCATGCCTAGTAACCATTCTGTAACGTCTAAATTTGGAAACACTGAATTTTTCACAATTGTCAAGGAAAACATTTGGTAATTGTCTAAAAGGAGTAGTATCGATAAGTCGGTTTTTCGTTTCAAAAAATTTCCGATTGAAAGTCACATATTTGGAATCAGCGTCGAATTCTGAACAAAATGGCCGATTCAGGTTTTTTTTGAAAAAATTTTATTTTTCGCCTGCCAAATCTGCCCCCTCCCCTGTCCTCCCTTTGGAACATTGAAAATTTAAGTTGTGCAAATTCTTTAAGAAGTACATCACTAGACGTAGAATTCAACGCTGATTCTGAATATTTAGTCGATTCCACTCCGATGCCTTGCAGAAAATTTGTGAATTACTT